TCAATCCCAACTCCAAATAATTAAACCTGGGAAGGTCAAAGAACCAGAGTAGTTTAAGGGAGTGAGCTCCCTCCTTTTATGTATAAGGTATTGGACACCATTTAAGCAATAGATTACTGGCATCCTTATGAGACCAAAGCAAGCCCCTGGACTATAACTATCCATTTCATGGCATTTATCTTATCAAGTGAAGTGACCAATAATACTAGACACAAAATGCCTCTGGACATAGTTTTACTGTTAGCGTTACAGATACTGTCTTAGTTTAAGATACATTAGCACCAATCAGAGACACTCCAAGAGATACAGCTTTTTTTCCTCTTATTACTTAACTAATTTACATATATTATAAAAAGATTTTTTCTAATGAAATTATTTAATAATTCATCAGTTTTCACATACAGCTTCTTTAAAAAGTCTGTTCTATGGTGACATTTCAGTTACCACTGATTTTTTCACAATAAAATTATTTCACAGTAAGTACAATATTTAAAAGAACCCAAACCTGCAGAAAGTGCTAGCCCCCAGAAATAACCCTAAAAACATCAAGTGTACTGTACTTGAGATTTTAACTTCTGTACTACCTCTAAAGTAATTGTACATACATTTCTTCATTGTTTTCAATACATCTAAACAATTTCATTTTTTTGCTCCAGCTTATCACTACACACCACATCCCTATATTCTGTCTCTCCTCTAGGTCTGGATTGGTGGGGTTTTTTTCATTCTGTTAGTTTTAATTTATACCTTCTGTATCTATGAGCAATCCCTCTAATGTAAGGAAAAGTCATAATTTAGTCCCTGGACAGTAAAAAATATTGAAAAATGAAAGATGTTAAAGGTTTATTGTATAAAAAAGTATATAGTCTTCTTTCAGCATTTCACTTTTTTTGAAACTATGTAATTTTTATTTGTCTTTTATTACAATATGTCAAAGGTTACACACACTGTATTTCTTTAGTTTGCTGCTACCCCTGTGTTCCCCGAGGGAAAATTTGCACTCATTTCACAAAAGCAGAAGTAAATACAAACCAGAAACCTATGAGAGCTGTTCACTCAGCTCTATGGGGGGATTTGCATGATTTGCCATGTGTTAGCTCAGCAGAACTTTCTATGCTGCCTGTGGCACTGTTTCTAAACTATGACTTGCTTTCTGGGATGATGTGTTTTCCTTTATAAAACAAGTAGCTCCTCAAAAAGTAAACAATACATGGAAAAACTAACCAGCTCTGTGGTGTGTCATTCATTGTCTGGCCATGTAATTTGGAATAATCATCCAGTGAGAGTTGAAAGAATTGCTTTTAGCCACACAAAAGCAATCTCATCTTGTTAAAGGAATACTCTGGACTCTCTGGTTTCACTGTGTACTGATAAACCTAGTAGTTCCACACAGGTTTGAGATTGTACTGAGGAAAAGGCATCTCTTTGTGACACTTGGAGTTTTTGCTCTGTAAATAGTTCAGTGAGTGTTCTCATTTCCAGTGACTGATGATAACTTCCATGGTGATTGCAGTTCAGCCAGCTACCAGAGACACAAGCACACAAGGAGCACTCATATCATCCATTGCTGTGACTCAGTGCCCACATCTGCCAACAGATTTCAGGAGAGGGTAACCTTGGAAAATTGGTCCTTTGGAAAACACTCAGAGCGAGCTGTTCTGAAATCTGCCATGATCAGAAGAAAATGTGTAGTAGTTTTTCATATATTGCAGGTCTGCAGTGTTGAGCAGGACATGAATCCTGTAAAACTGAGCCATTGTTAGGCGCCAAGCCTGTTGCCTAGTAGTCTGAAGGGGTGTCTAGGTGTTCAGGTAATCACATCCAGGTTCATACTAAGGACCTTCTGCATTTTTCAAGTAGTACAAAAGAGAATGAAAGCAGCTTTAATGGTCAATGAATCACCTGCCACAGTGGAGTTCTTGATTTGAAGTAAGCATACTAAGCTCCATGACCCACACATTTTTCTAAGCTAAGGCAGTGCTGCTTTAGCTTGGCTGCAGCCTGAATGCAGCACAAGCACGCTGAATGCTGTGCTTAGCAGGACTGAGCCTGGATCCCAGTGCCAAACCCATCTGTTGCAACAGGCTGTTACAGAAATACTGGTTTAGCCTCCTGCAATAGAATCAGTGCTTGACCTTCTTTAGGGCCCTCCATGTAGCAACCCAGAGCTGTGCTCTGTCCCTGGGTGCCCTCCAGGCTCCTGGAGACAGCCTCTGCTGGAGCCCCCCTCTACAGGCAAGGACTGAGTCAGTGATGCAAGCTCTGGGGGGCAGGATGCAAAGGGAGCATTCCTGATAAGTGCTAGGCACTGAGGCAGAGCTCAGATTCCTGCTATTGTGTAGCTCCATGTGTAAGACACTCAACTGGCACGTGAGGGACCTCATTCAAACTCTTCTGCTGATTTGGAGCAGCAATTTGACCTCAAGTCACTGTCCCCAGAAGACACATCCCAGCTTCTATGCCATAGGGCAGTTCTCCTAGTGTCTCTGTCAAGGCTCTTTGTCCCAGCTGGGAGAAAACGATGGCTCTCTGTGCACTCAGTGACCACATCTGAATGTTTCTTACACACATGTTCTCAGTCTTTTAAAAAAGCTTCAAGATGTAATATTAAAAAAAAAAAAAAAAAACCAAGATCACATTTACAAGGAAAATATATCCATGTCAATGTCTAAGGTATTCTCTGGTGATTTGATTCCCATTCTGCAAAAAATGGCATTAGTTTGATGTTCTGTGCAATTCCAAGGCAGTACTTCAACAATCCAGACAGACCGAAACCACAAGTTACAGAGCATGCCCATGGAAAACACACAAAAAGCAAAGAAAAACATATCAGCCATTAAAACTCAAGTTTTACTGAAGTTTATGTAATTTTCATGACTGTACAAATGTTAGGATGAGTTGAACCATTTGACAGCAAAACAACTGAAACTATAAAGTTTGAATGTGCATACAATTCAGGTAAGAAGTAAGTTTGTTTTCTCCTCTTACCACACATCTGTGATGGCAGATGCCATGTGGAAGCAAGAGCTGTGTCCTTATATCCTGTCTTTTGTCCCTTTCTAGCTGTTCACAGAAACTGCTTCTTACTGAAAAATGTTTCCATATCCGTTGTTCTTCCAAAACTGCTAAAAAGCCCTTGGTTAAGGACTTTGGTTTTATTTTGTCTTATGAGAATAATTCAAACCCCCAAAAGACATTTCTGAATTCTGGTTGGAAAGCATTTCCCTCCAACCTAGAGGTATGTTTCCAGCTTAGACATGCTTAGACTTGTGCCCAGTCTTTACCTGTGGCTGTTGACTACCTTACGCTCTCTACTCCACACTGCTGGCTTCTGCATGTCTCATTTCTCCTGTGCCCCTTCACAGGGGTCACTGGGTGTCACCAGGTGGCAGATGTCAGAAAGACAAGCAAGGCGAGCCACTGCCTTGTGAGTCACTTATTTACAGCGGATTGCCACTTTAGCTGATTGAATAAAGGCAACGCCTGCAATGGCACGTAATTGTTGTTGCAATAATAGCAATCGACTGCTCATTTTTACCACATGCCTGCTGTACTTCTCTGCCCTCTTCATATTCCCAAGCACCAAACACCTCGGATAAATAAGACATTAGTATCCAGTTTTAAAAGGGTTACAAGTGGGGGTACAGGTATTTTAATTTCAGAGTCATACGGCATCCCCATCTCTGTTTCTCCCTAATTGCTGTCACTCAGACTATGCTGTGCAGTCCTTGTCCTGGATCCTTCTTTTTCTTCCTTACAGCTTTGTGGTTTCAAACTATTTAAAATTGAATGATATAAAGAACCTTCAAAAAGTCAGTGTGCTGGGGAATAGGAGGGCATCCTTAAGTTCTCTCCATAAACTTCTGTCTTGCAGATGGGATTTATTTGCCACAAAGATATCTGCTTTTGGGGGCTGAGATTTTACTGCCAAACACCAGAACAAAGCTGGTGTGGGACCATACGGAATAGAATCCTTTATAGTTTCCTTGTTCTTAATATAGAAAATGTTGCAGATACTTGGCAGATCCACCACTTTTTTTTCCCTTTCTGTTGTCATTTTCATTATTTAAATAGATACATTCAGGCTGCAGATTGCTTTGACAAGTAGATGGAAGAATTTGGTAAATTCCAAAGAACACACAGTAGGTATTTGGCAGTATATCCTCAGCAAACAGCTCTAATGCCATCACACCCTGTGTCTGGCCATCCCACCTGATTGTATTTGGAATCACTGGCTCCTTCCAGCCAAGGGGAGCTGGAAGTCTCAAAGACATTTAGATCACAGATGTCTTCTCCAAGTGTGCTCCATGCTATTACTCAAGACCATGGGCATGGGAGTGAAACTCCAGAAAGGAATCCGTTTTAGGAATGGCATTGTTTGGAGCTCAAAGTCAGGCACGACAGGCACTTGCAGGAAACCAAGTCTCTGGCAAGGCAAAATGGGAGGGATGGAGCTGTTGCTGCCTTTGGCCGTTCATCCCAGCCAAGGCAGAAACGGTCGAAACTGCTGAACCACCGCGGTGCCCGGCTTGGTTTTTCAAGGTAAGCTAGTACTGACTGTGGTTTTATGGCACCTGCGGCCTCTGTGAATGCAGTTTACCTGTCCGACTAACTTCTATTTATGCTCAGGTGCCTTCAGGAGCCCCCGAGTCCAGGCTTAGGGCAGCACCGAAGCACTGGGGGTACATCGCCCCCTGAGCGGCGGGCGGCTCCGCCCTCGCCCCGCTCCTGCCGGGGCAGTACCGGGCGGCTTGGCCGGCGGCGAGGGGCCCGTTCCCGGGCGGCCGGTACGTGAGCGGGCGCGCGTCCGGAGGGTGGCACGGGCGCGTGGCCGGGGGTGCCAGCGCGGGCGGCTCCGCGCGCGCCGCCGCTCGGGCCCAACGGCCCTCGGCCAACGGCCGGCGCGCGCTCCCGGGGCGGGCGGGCGGCGCGAGGGCGCGCGCACGCGTTGCCATGAGACGCGGGCGGCGGGGGAGGGGGGTTACGTGGTGACGTTAATTCTATATGAGCGCGAGCGGCGGGAGCGCGGGTCCTTTCACCGCCGGCCGCGCGGCGCCTCCGCCTCGCTGCTCCTGAGTCACCGCCGCCCGCCGGCCGCGCAGGTACCGCCGGAGCGCGGCCGCTGCCGCCGCCCCGGGCTGGGGGTCAGGGGGGCACGGGGGGCGCCCGGGGGGCGCTGGGCCCTCCGCTCTCTCGCGGGGAGGCCGTGGCTGCCGGCCCGGCCTAGCGGGGCCCCTGGGCTGGCGGGACGCGGAGGGCCGGCGGTGCCCGTGCCACACCGCGTACCGGCCCGCGGGGCGGCCACGCCGCTGCTCGCCCCTCGGGCCCGCAGCGAGAGCAGCGCTTCTCGCCGCCTCCCGCGCGTCCCTCCGCTGCGCCCCGCGGAGCGCCCGGGCCGCGCTAGGCCGGGGCCCGTGGCGTGGCCGGCGCTGGGGGGAGGCGGGTCGGCCCCGCAACACGTGGGCGCCCGAGCGGGGCCGCGCCCGGCGCGGCCGGGGACCGGGAGGGCGGCGGGGCCGGAAAGCGGCGCGGGGAGGAGCGGATGAGCGTCCGGCCGGGCGCGGGGAGGGCGCGGGAGGGGCTCGGTGCCGGTGCGGCGCGGGGCCCCGCGCGGTAAGTGCGCACATGGCGGAGCGGAGCGGCGATGGCTGCGCGCCGTGGCCTTGTGCCGCCTCCCGCGCCTTGTTCCCGCTCCGAGCGGAGCCGCGGCGCGGGTGTGCTGTGCTCTGCTGCTGGCAGGGGGACCCAGAGATTCAGCCAGCGGACGGGCTGCTCCCTGCTTCGGGGTACTGTGGTGTCCGGGAGCTCAACATGTCGCTTCTCCGGGCGCCTCTTAGCTGGTATCACTCTGAATAGTGTCCCCAAGGAAGGCTGAGACACTACCTGGATGATTTAGTAATTACAAGTGGAACTACTATCTTGTGTTCAGCATTCATTTAGATGTATAAAACATACTGTATTCCATATTGAATGTTTTGGGGCCTTACACTATCAATACTTGTGAGACTTTAAATATTGGCTGAAAAACCGACATCGTCTGCTTGCAGAAAAAAACGCAAATCTTTTTTGAAGCAACTGGCATAGTGATAATGCAGCAGCACCTTCCACATTTTGTCTCCAAGCTCTCTGCAGTTAGGTATATGTTTGAAGTCCTGTTGAGATACACTTTGAGTGTATCTCACTCTAGTGAGAGCATTTCGTGTTCTACCTCACTTGTGGAGGGTAAGAGAAGTGGGCACAGTGTCTGCAGGGTATGACAAATACTCTCCTTTGCTCAGCGCCTCTTGGGATTTTAACATCTGCTGGTAGATGCTACATTAATCAGGCAGGAGATAATGCCTGATAATTTTAATTACAGTCATGAAATGAAACTTGAGGGAAAAGTTAAGGCCTAAGGCTGTGAACTGCTGAAGGTAGTTTTTGACAAACATGTTGGTAGCTTTTTAGCAGCCTTCCTGCTGAGCCCATTTTACAGTGGTACTCTTTAAAGAATGAGAGAATCACTGTACTTTGATTGAAGCAAGCTGAGTGGTTTCCAGTCTCTTGCAAATCCAGAAACTATACTAACCCTTAGAGGAACATAGTATTTAAAATATACATACATGGAAGTCTAAGTGACTTGGATGCTTCTGTACCAGACAGAAGTTGAGGCCGCGCAGGCTGTGAGTACCTGAAACATTGATAGAAGTGCTTAGAACAGGCCACTGACACCTGAGCTTGTGTGTGTCCCACTTTGTCCCGTGAGAGTGATACATGTTAGCAGTGTTACTGCCCTCCACTTTTTCTGTGCTTTGTGACAAGTCTTGGATATCGTGTGCTCTTGGTTTCTGAGGACCGAATGTTGGTCCTGTGCACAGGTAGTAGATTGGTGTTTTTCAGAGCTCCTGGTCTTTCTCTGCCTTGGACAGACTAGGGAGTGAATGTTGGGAGCATGCAGAAGTTCTGTGCTGCATCTGTGCTGCCAGCCCAGTGTTTCAGAAGTGCCCGATCTGCTGCAGCTCTGCCTGTTTACACGTACACAGCAATGCTCCCACCATCCTGGTGCATCATCTACCGCCTGCCTCACTCAGAAACTAATCCTGGGAGCAGGTGGGGGACTTGTTATGGTCACCTGCTTACTAAACACCCTGGAAAGGGGTGGTGTGGTTTTTTCCTTAGCTTTGAGCATGTGTGCACAAGCGAAACTGAAACCAAGGTGGTGTGGGCATGGTGTTATAAACCTCTGTTAACAGGGTTTTCACAACCCTGAGTGAGACCTGGATCTTCCAGGCTGAGGCCGTGTCCTCTAATAGAGAACTCCACATCTATGAGGAAACTTTGGCTTACTCTGTACATTTGAGAAAAACCTCTTTATTCACTAGGCTCCTAAAAGTTAAAGCAATGCTAACATGAAGAGCTTGACTTATCATGGCAGAAATTGTATTCCTTCAGGGAGTAAAATAGCTTGAGGATATTAATTTCAATAGTGAAAAATTTTAGTGGGGGAAATAAGAATCTTCTATTTTGAATTTTTGTTCAATCCTTTGGTGGAAGCCAGTTTATTCCAGTAGAACATCAGGTATTATGAACATGTCTCTGGTATCTTCACCTTTTTGCTAATGTAGTTGTAATGCAGTTCATATTGAGGTTCTTGTGAAACAGCTGCAAACACGACATATCTCTAACTAAGGATCTGATTCTAAAGGAAACTGCAGGAATTGGACAGGTTACAGAAAATGGAGGTGCAGGTGTTCTTTCAATGCCTGTTTGTTTTTCTGTGTCCCTGTATACATTCAGTGCAACTTAAGCTCTGGGATTTTCGATGAGCTGGGAGTGCTTTGGTATTTGTGAAGTACAAATAGCTATTTACACAGAAGACAGAACTTTGCAAACAGAAGCAAGACTTTTTAATGCTAGTTTTATTTTAGTACAGCTGAGGAGTCTTCTCAACTGCTCTGGGCAACTGCATTGCTTTGAGCTTCTGCTTAGGGAGGTGGCTAGTAAATAACAGAGTGGAACTTCTTAGTACGTGTTTAATCCAAGGAGGGGTTGTGATGATGGGTTTAATGCTTATAGGTCAGTTTTCATTTGTAAATTGCTTGGCGTTCAAAAGTGATTATAATTAAAGCTAATTCAATCTAGCTGATTCTCACTCAGCTCAGAGGTTAGTGCCTTTCCTCATCACCCAACATTGTTAATCTGGAGAGTAGGTCTGGTGTCATGATGTATTTGTCTAGAAAACCGGACATGCCTGGAAGGCATCACAGAAGTTGCTTGGGGATTCATTTGATGACCTTCTGAAAAATTAAGCTATTTAGAAGCACCGTGTGAGGGCTTTGAGGGCTTCCTACACTAAATTATTATATTATTTTCTGAATCAGCAAAGTTAATGCAGAAGTAAAAATCCTAATTATTGATATACTTGTGTATTTAGCCATAATTTTTGACCTTAAGTTTTCAGGAAGACTTCACATATTGCAGATTAAATCTTCAGTTGCAGTCAATTAAAAAAGTTTGCTGGTTTACCTTTGATACTCCAGAATTATTTAAAAATATAAATATTTATAGATATGAACTTCCTGAAAGATTAATATTATAGATGAATTTGCATCATCTGCTTAAATGAAGACATCTGCATCCTAACTACTTGTCAAAGGTTAAACTGCAGGTCTTTCCTGGATAGAAAGCTGTTTCTGTGAGGTTTTCTGTGGAAAATACAATGCATCTGGGGGCTGTGTGCTTAAGTGTACGTCTGCACAGACATGACTTGCAATTGTGATGTTTGTCTTGCAATTGTGCATCAATTGTTTCACCTTGTCATTGAGGACTATAGAAGAAAGTACTACCAGTTGCTCCTTGGTAGATTTTTATGTTCAATGAAAGCCAATTTTAGATAGAAAAGCTTGGTTTTGGATGTACCTGTATCTTTGAAGCATTCAGTTGATGATTTTATATTTATTCTTTAAAAAACTATCACTACCAAATAACAAACAAGCAATGAGGGAACCTTCACCCAAAACATGAGAGATACTAGAATTAACTGAGTGTTGGAGAGTCTTGTTATGAAGTTTGACAAAGTGGGTGCCTGGAATCTGGAATGGACAAACCCCTAAACTTCTACGACCCAGGATAGAAACATAAGTGTTATCTTTTCTGACCATCTGCACTACAATTGGTTCAATCCACTACTTTATTTAGTTATTGTTTAATATGCAGTGTTTCAAAGAACAGAGAAGCAGTTCTTTCAGATTTCTTGTGGGATGACTTGCCCATAAGGGAAAGTTTTGGTTTAGTTCAGGCCCTCGTTAAACCTGATAGACATTGAAAAGTCAAGTTGAGGAACGCAGGGAGGGTCCATGAAAAAAAATTGTTCATATTGAAACCAAGTTTGAATCAGTTATTTTTGAACTTCTTGTTAATGTACATATTTTTGTGTCATTTCTTGTTGCTCTTCACTCAAATGCTATTAATACAAAATGTGAACTGCTTCTGTTGCTCAGGTATTCATGTTGCTAGGCCCTTAGCTGAGCTAGTTCCTCTCTTCAGTGTTGAGCAGTGGATACAGTATTTTCATTAAGGATACATTACTGAAGTGCAGGATGATCATATTTTGTAATTGTGTGTTTTAGTCACCATGGATTCATTTCAGATCTTGCCACTTTTGCATGTTGAGAAGAAGTCTTCAGTGGACTGCGTGCCATTATATATGTCTTTACATAGCAGGTTTTTGATTTTTTGAATTCTAAAGCAGTTGGAATTGCATCTTTTTATTTGTTCTTTTAGATTTAAATACTATTTATTTTGCCTCACTTGACTCACCCTTTTAAGCAGTAGTTAAATCGTGATACTACAGTTTTGGAAATAACTCATCTTTGAATGAAAGTTTCAACTGGTATAGTGCTTTATGCTGTTTCTTGTGTGTGCAGGGTGGCTTTATCAGATGCATGCTTGCTATGCTTGAGCTGGGGAGGTCTTCATGACACAGCCTCTTGATTCTTTAACCACCATCTTCAGTGTTTTGGATGTACCACATACTTCCGTATTGCTGCTGAAGGCAAGATTGAGTGAAATTCACAAGAGAGTATTTCTGAAGATAACTTTGTAAACAGTGCTCAAGTTCCAT